TCAGGCCAGCACACAATGTTATATGCTCAACCTGTTTGCTGAATTCTGCACCAGCTTAAGTTTCCGAAACATCTTCAAAGGCAGCCCTACAGATAACATATTGCAGGATTCTAATCTGGAGGTTACCAGGGCATGGACGGCAGAAGTTAGGCAATCCCTGCCTGATAGGGATGCTGATGGCACTCACGCCATTGAAGCAAACTGAGCCTCAGACGACAGCAATGGACCCTGAAGGACCCCCAAGCTGCATACCGGCTCTTCAGAAGCAGCGTAATCCCATCAAGAGCAGGCAGCTTCCCAGCAAATCTGGTCCAGGGAAACTACCATCTAACAGTGCTCTGTCTTGAACTTGTATATTGGCTCTCATCCAGTACTATTCAATGCAAGACAACAGTCTAGCACATCCGCTGCCACACCTGCAGATGCAAAGGAGAAGAGCTGTGTATATCGCATATTGCTGACCATGTACTTCAAAACTCTGGATGACCCCACTCAGGGGGTTCAGGTAGATGTTAAACAGCATGAGGGATAAAACCAAACCCACAGTGAAGGCTCCACAGGGCCGGAGAGCACTCTCCAAGCGTCATCCTCTGGAAATGACATCCAAGTGGGCCAGAACCACCTCAAAGCTGTGGACACCAACCCCAACCAAGACAGCCACTCCAGAAGGAGTACCATGGTTGATGGTATTGAAAAGTCACTGAGAGATCAAGGAGAATTAACAAGGACATATTTCCTCGCCTCTCTCCCAACACTGAGCCAGTGTGGTGTAGTGGTTAAGAGCGGTGGACTTGTAATCTGGTGAACCGGGTTCGCTTCCTCTCTCAGCCCCACTCACCTCACAGAGTGTTTGTTGTGGGGGAGGAAGGGAAAGGAGAATGTTAGCGCTTTGAGACTCCTTCGGGTAGTGATAAAGCGGGATATCAAATCTAAACTCTTCTTCTTCTTCAACAGGGCGACCCAACGCAGTTTCTGTGTCAAAACTGGCCTAAAACTCCAATTGAAATGGACCTAGAAATCTATTTTCTCCAAGAGCGCCTGGATCTGGTCTGCGACTACCTGCTGAATAATTTGCCCAAGAAAGGGTGATCGGCAACTGGTCAGTAGTTATTTAGATTTTATTGAGGGTTTATTGAGGAATGTTTTTACCACTGCCCACTTCAAGCAGGCAGGGACCAAGCCCTCTTGCAAGGCAGCATTAATCACCTCCAGGCCCAGCAGCTGTCCCCTCCCTGCTCAGTTTTTATCAGCCAGGAGGCACAAGGGTCCAGAGTGCAAGTGGCTGCCCTGACTGATCCAAGCATTATTGGGGCCACAACTGATAAGACTTTCTCACAAGCTACCCCGCCTTGAACCTCTGAGAGTAGAGAGGTAGAAAGACCAAGCCTTCCTTCATTTTCCTGCTTAACTTTCCACCTGGTGTGTATGGCCTACTGGTAAAGCACTTTAGAAAACACTATAAAGAATTTAATTTATTAATTAAAACAATCAATATATTGATACATATTGCTGTGGAAGATTAATTCCTGCAGTTGAACCAATAGAGCAGCTTCATCACAACTAAAGTATTGTGGTTGTCAGTAAGATATTAATTTGGCTGTTACATTTATATTGTTTATTTAAAGCATTTTGTCCCAACTTTTAGATGAAACTCAACAAGGGTCAATAACAATTCTATGTGTCACCTCAGAAGTAAGCAGCACTGAATTCACCAGGAGTTATTCCTAGGTGACGGGAAAACAGGACTGCATCCTTAGTCACACAACTAAGTTTATAAAATAATTATAATTTAGCTGGATTGTGGCCTGGCTGTTTAAGAGAGCCTTCTTATTTAATAGGGTAGCAGACTGGCCGATGTGAGAAATCAGCACCTTTTTCATTCAATTAGAGAAGAGTAATGGGAAACATAGTACAAAATCACTTTTTTGCCCTGTTCCCCTGATTAAAAAACCCTTCTGTGTGGCAAGAGCTCCACACAGTGGTCACACTGTGTGAGAACTGCTCACAATGCATGATGGGTGTGTGGAATTCATGCAATTATTAGCTCTGTGTATTTTATAGCTTCCACCGTCATTTCTACTGGCTATTAGTATGAAATGGGGCTAAGGTGAATTCAATTCCAAGACGATAGCCATTTGTAATGGAAGGAAACAATAAAAAAAAATTTGCAAGAACAAATGAGCCCTAATTCTAAACAAAATGCTTGTTTAACATGGAGGTAGGCTGTATGAATTGTGTATTGATTTGTAATGATTTGTTGGGTCTCTGGACCGTAATAAAGATTGATTGAAGATTGATTGATAAAAAAAAAAGTATTTCAATTCAGCAGAACAGTTTTCCCTTAGTAAAGTTGATAGGGAACCTCCAACCATCAGGCCTGCCAGGCCCCTTCAAATGGCAAAGTCCTCTCAGCTGCCAATTCACTTGATGTCATCTGACATCTGTCAGTCATAGGGTTAGACATAAAATTTTACATCTCATATAAGGTAAAGGTAAAGGTACCCCTGCCCGTACGGGCCAGCCATGTCCGACTCTAGGGTTGTGCGCTCATCTCACTTAAGAGGCCGGTGAGCCAGCGCTGTCCGGAGACACTTCCGGGTCACGTGGCCAGCGTGACGAAGCTGCTCTTGGCGAGCCGGCACCAGCGCAGCACATGGAAACGCCGTTTACCTTCCCGCTATAAAGCGGTACCTATTTATCTACTTGCACTTAGGGTGCTTTCGAACTGCTAGGTGGCAGGAGCTGGGACCGAAAGACGGGAGCTCACCCCACCGTGGGGATTCGAACCACCGACCATGCGATCGGCAAGCCCTAGGCGCAGAGGTTTTACCCACAAGCGCCACCCGCGTCCCTTACATCTCATATATATTTCACTTATTCTCTATACAATTCCTCCAAAGAATAAGGGGGAACTGAATGTAAAATATATTAATATATATGTAAGATCCATACAATTTTGTGCAATATTTTTATTTTGTTCATGTTGGAATCCACTTTTACCCTATGGGGTTTTTTGTTTTGCCTCTGGCTCCACCTACCACCCAAATGCAGCCCCAGAAAGTTGGCAAGGTATGAATCTGGCCATAGGTCTAAAAGAGGCTCACTAACACCTCTTTAGCATATAATGTATTTTTATGTGAAGTATGTATCCCTTCCACTTGTCAACATGATGTTTTATTTTGGGAGATGGGTGAGAAATAGACACTGTCTATTTCAAATAACAGGAAGCAAGTAACAGCTACCTACATGATGCTGAATGTGGTCTTAAAACAAAGTAATGTCAGTAGTTGCAAGGTATACCCAAATCAAAATTAATTACGATTCCTCCCATCAATGCTGTCAACCTGGCCAAGACTTTTGCTCCCAAATCCTTTCCAACCATGGATGTTTGGCTGTAATCTTCTTTAAGATATATTCTTCTGTTTCATGCAGCTTTCATTCAAAGAACTGGCCAGATTCACACCTGCTATCTCCAGCAATGTTGCAGTCTCTAAGGTTCCCTCCCAGTCAATTGACTGAGCCCTGGTCTTGGGTTTTAGTCCTAAGCATATTTACATGGAAATAGGTCCAACTCAAGTAGAGCTGTTGCTTGCTTAAACTGCCAGAGTCTACAATCATGTTCTTTCCAGGTATGCTAGCTTTACAAACTATACTTTCTGTCTTCTGCCTGCCACTGCCAGTTTCTACCCACTGTCATGTATAGACTAGTAATTTCTCTCAACCCCTGTGGGCAAGATTCCATATTTGCCTCTAGAACAGCATCTAATACTGCATGTCTACTCAATGAATCAGTGGGAACTATAATCCTATATACACTCACCTGGAAGTACAGTCATACCTCGAGTTGAATGTGCTTCAGGTTGAGCGCTTTCGGGTTGCGCTCTGCAACAACCCGGAAGTAACGGAGCGTGTTACTTCCGGGTTTCCACCGCTCGCGCATATGCAGATGCTCAAAATGACGTCACGCGCATGCGCGGAAGTGGCAAAACGCGGCCCGCGCACACGCACCGTTGCATCTTACGTTCCGTTTGAGATGCGAACGGGGCTCCGGAATGGATCCTGTTCACATCCCAAGGTACCACTGTAAGTCCTACTAAACTCAATGGGGCTTCTTCTGAATAGAAATAAGATAAGCTGCAGCCCTATACACACTAACCTAAGTTTAAAAGGTAAGAACTATTTTTAAAAAATGTGGCAGGTGATCTCCCCCACCCCCTTGGGCTTCAATGGGCCTCCTACTGGCAGGGGGGGGGAAATGGTGTGTTCACTTATGTACAATATTTTGGTACGTAAACTTCAGTAAGCACACAGCACTACCACCACCACCATCATCATCACACCTTTTCTCCAAGGAGCTTAGAGCAGCATTTCGATTTCAAGATGCATTTGTCCCTAGACTTTGTCTACAACAGATGTGTTGGAAGTTGTGAATAATGTGTACGCAAGCCCAGCACCCTCAAACACCAACTTTCCCAAGCATGAATGCAAAAGGCTGGTTACAAATCATAAGTTTTCTTTAGTTAGAAAAAAAAATCTTATTTGAATGTTCATCAATACAAATTGTGTTCGGTGCTTCACAAAAACACGCCTTGGGCACACGTCAGTGCACTTGACTCCTTACAAAACACTTGCAGTTTCTTTTAACTTTAGATGCCTGCATTATCACAATATGCACAGTCAAGTCTCAGGTGACTATGGCAGACTCCAGTAAGTTGCAGTTACTTTGTGGTGTCCTTCCTAAACACACTATTTTTTTTTGCTGAAGCCACAGAGGTTTGGTTCAGATTCTCATTCCTGCACTTCTGTGAAATGATCCATACATGTTCTTGCATTACAGTTCACTTTTGAAAGTCTTTCACGGCCTTCAAAGTATCAAACTACCTAATGTGTAGTTTCAACTTTGGGAAACAGCTACTTAGCAGAATGAAGGGTTTTTAAAGTTGTTAACAAACAATCCTTCCTGCACATTCTGTGAAAAGATGTTGCTGTAACAGGTACACATGATACTTTTCTTCAGGACACCGTGGCGAGGTAGTGAGACACCTTGGTTCAAAAACTACCTCTTAGTAGGAGAAGGTTCTTGTGGCCTCACCCAGCATCCAGGTGCTGCAAACAGAAAGGAATTCATCATTAATTGTTTTGTTTTAAAATGCGGAAACTGCTAGATATGCATAAAGTAATCTATGCAGGAAGTGCTAGATTTAAAACAAATATTTACAAATATATTTTGGAAAGTGGTCTGTCCATTTGTTCTCTATGGGTTTGGCCATTAAGGATGGGCGATACCTGGTTTTCAACATTGTGATATATCAGCAGCTAAATACTGTGATATGCTGGTATGTCTGGAATGTATCTCAGCTGCTTCTTCCTCCCCACCATAGTCGAGGAACAAGCAGCCAAGATACATTTTCCAGCCCTACTAAGCAAGTCCCCATACCGCTCTGACTCACACATGCCAGAGGGGCACGGGGCTTCCTTAAACTGTTCAGCTAAGCAAGCCCTGATACTGCTCTGGATCACATGAGCCGGAGGGGCATTGAGACTTCGTTGAACTGCTCAGCCAGCCCCAAAACAGCACTTAGTACACCAGATCTGAAATGTTAGGGATGCTGGCATGGGGATGGTTCCAAGGCGAAGGTTTGAGTATATGGGGTTTTCATGTATATGTGGAAGCCTTGGAAGTGAACTGTCACGTAAGATGTGATCGTACTGTATCTCCATATATCAATAATATTTCCTGGTTATATATTTTTTTTAATGACAATTTTTTTCTTATTCCCCTTAAAGATGACCATGGGGCGGGGATTAACCAAGCCATTGAATTCTCCCTTGATAAGAATTTATCTGTCCATGATTGTTATATGGTTTTTAATTCATTCAATTTCAGTCATAGAATTGTAGAGTTGTAGAGATGACCCTAAGGGCCACCTAGTTCAACCTCCTGCAATGCAGAAATCTCAACACATGGTCCCCTATCCAATTACAGAATTTCCCCCTATTTGCAAGGGAGACAGGAAATATATAAGATATAATGCTATGCAATATCTCCTCTGAAGAGTGAGTTATCAGATGGAAAACAGTTTGCACATACGGGGCTGTCTTTCAAGGCTGTCTTTCAAAGACAAACCCCACCATGATCACACCTGTTTTCAAGGAGACTAGCAAATATGTAAAACCCAACTCAAAGCACAATTTCCTTTGAAAATAAGATATTGGCATGAAATTTGACCTGTGTGTTCTGTGTGTAAAATTTCAAATTTAAAACCCATCTTCAGCTCTAGATTCAGTTTCAAGAGGGCCAGGAGTCAGGTCTCTCAAATACTGTTTTATTAGTAACTATCAGCTTCATCCCCAGTGTTGATCAGGAATTGTAAGAAACAAAATAATAATAATCTGCAGTTTTGAAACCAGTTTTGAAAAGTTCAGTCCACCATTTTGATTCAAAATGGTGTCTAACTGAACCCAAACACAGAAGAAAACTGTTCCTTCATCTCAAGAACCATCATGCAAAATTTGGTTATGAATATCGTAAGAGGTGTCCAAATGCAGAGCGAACAGGCAAACAACGTTCCAAAATATATAGCAGATAAATAAACCACCATCCTATACTTACACTGAGGTTTTCCAGGGCTAGTGTTGCTAACACTGCTTTCAAAGGAAGAGTGAAAGTTGTGTATGGTCTCCTGTAAAATTTTTCTTTCTCGGCCCTGTTGAAAACCATAGTTAGAGCAAGAACCAAATGCATAGTCCATGTTTAAATCTATCAATGCAATCATTAGTAAGAGAAACTTCAGCTTGGTTCTTTAGGAACGCATGCCAAGAAAGGTGTTCATGTTTGCTGGTAATGGTGTCAATGAAATAACCTTGTTTGCTCCAGTCTGCTTCTGGCACAAGGTACTCTGGTTTGGGACTGTACAACTTTGTGACCCAGCAAGCTAAACACAGCCCACTGGTTATATATTATACTGTGATGCATCTGCTACCCTCTATAGTAACATTTTAAAGCATTCATACTCACCCATGCAATTGATGGCTAAAAGATGCTGTTTTAGACAACCTTGAATAATTTACCTGCAGGGATAATTACCGTATTTTTTGCTCTATAAGACTCACTTTTTCCCTCCTAAAAAGTAAGGAGAAATGTGTGTGCGTCTTATGGAGTGAATGCAGGCTGCGCAGCTATCACAGAAGCCAGAACAGCAAGAGGGATCACTGCTTTCACTGCACAGTGATCCCTCTTGCTGTTCTGGCTTCTGAGATTCATAATTTTTTTCTCTTGTTTTCCTCCTCCAAAAACTAGGTGCATCTTGTGGTCTGGTTCATCTTATAGAGCGAAAAATACGGTAATTGTTTTCAAATGTTTAGTATTGCTTTGGTGTTTGCTGCCCGGTTCTCCTTTGGGAGGAAAAATCTAAACACAACAGTTCTGCAGTGGCAGATTCATGTTAATGGGCAAACTGTTGACCTGGAGAGAACACTTTCCATACACTCTGTTGCACAGCAGGAACTGAGAGTAACGACTGGGTGGCAAGAACTTCTGTAACTGGCCCTGCCCACATAGTAATGAGCCTTGAAACACTGCAGAAGTTTCAAATCTGGATTTCCAATAGGCCAAACTAACCCCAGTAATATACAAATTGTTGGCAATGAAGGCTGGAGTCAGAAGAACTGTAAAGTCCCTGAGCCAGCCCACTAGGGCAAAACTCTTTGGTGTTAAAGAAAAGGAGCTGTGCAGTCCTAAAGCCAACACCCTCTTCTCTGAGCACTCTCTATCAGTTGTTGAGAAATCAAATTCTTAAAAGCAGAAAAAAACAACACTCTGAAAGTAAAATATATTCTGAAATACCTTTCCTGCATTCAGCTCAGAAATAGCTGCCAGAATTTGTTGTCGAGAACCATCCGTTTTAATTCCCAGTTCCTTCAAATCACCATCCAGTGAGGGTGAGGAAAGCCTCCATATCCACCTGCGAAACAGAAATCCGTAAATGCATTTTCTCTCTTCTAATTTATGAAGGAGACGCTGAGCTAAGAGGCAGAGAGAGCATTTTACACTCTACCCTCCATTTTGGCTCCAGCAAGACCTAAGTCCCCTTAACAGTGTGAGGAACTGCTGCTACTAATTTTAGCACTGTGTGAAGTGTTAGTCTGAAGACCTTGCAAAATAGCAAAGGAATCTCTGGATCAAAACTTGTCTCTGCTATTCATTACATAGGTGGCTTCATGGAAGTCATTTCTCGGCCTCAGCCGGAGTTAATAACCCTGTTACAGAGATATTATAAGGGTCATGGATAATGTATGTGAAATACTTTAAACACCCTAAAGCACTATATCACTATTATTATCTACACTAGTGGCCAAAATTGTGGAAACCATTTTTTATTTTTAGTAACACCATAAATTATACATCAATGGAAAGATAATTTAATGAAGAATGTAATGCAACATGGTTGGAGGATGGATGGCGGCAAACAGATTGAGATTGAATCCTGACAAGACAGAAGTACTGTTTCTGGGGGACAGGAGGCGGGCAGGTGTGGAGGATTCCCTGGTCCTGAATGGGGTAACCGTGCCCCTGAAGGACCAGGTGCGCAGCCTGGGAGTCATTTTGGACTCACAGCTGTCCATGGAGGCACAGGTTAAATCCGTGTCCAGGGCAGCTGTGTACCAGCTCCATCTGGTACGTAGGCTGAGACCCTATCTGCCCGCGGACTGCCTCGCCAGAGTGGTGCATGCTCTGGTTATCTCCCGCTTGGACTACTGCAATGCGCTCTACGTGGGGCTACCTTTGAAGGTGACCCGGAAACTACAACTAATCCAGAATGCAGCAGCCAGACTGGTGACTGGGAACGGCCGCCGAGACCATATAACACCGGTCTTGAAAGACCTACATTGGCTCCCAGTACGTTTCCGAGCACAATTCAAAGTGTTGGTGCTGACCTTTAAAGCCCTAAACGGCCTCGGTCCAGTATACCTGAAGGAGCGTCTCCACCTCCATCGTTCTACCCGGACACTGAGGTCCAGCACCGAGGGCCTTCTGGCGGTTCCCTCACTGCGAGAAGCCAAGTTACAGGGAACCAGGCAGAGGGCCTTCTCGGTAGTGGCGCCCTCCCTGTGGAACGCCCTCCCACCAGATGTCAAAGAGAACAACAACTACCAGACTTTTAGAAGACATCTGAAGGCAGCCCTGTTTAGGGAAGCTTTTAATGTTTGATGTATCACAGTATTTTAATATTCTTTTGGAAGCCGCCCAGAGTGGCTGGGGAAACCCAGCCAGATGGGCGGGGTATAAATAATAAATTATTATTATTATTATTATTATTATTATTATTATTACCCCCACCCACCCAACGTGTTGCATCTTGCCCTTGTTCTTTTTACATGGCTGTCATGGCTATGGAGAAGATTTGAAAATGTACACACAGAAAAACCAAAAGGAGCTTTTGGGGGAAGGGAACGTCCTATTGTCTTCCCATATCTTATTGCCCCTGCTCCAAACTTCTTCTGATTTTGGGGGGCTTCTGTTGCCCCTGTTTTTGCTAAACCAAAACACTGCAGTCAAAATAATCATGCAAATTTGAATAAGTCAGTCTCAGCAAAGTGTGGTGGTTTCTGCCATGCAAAACTGGCAAAGTTGCAAGAGGTCTACCAAATTCTGACTTTCCTTATTGTCATGTACAGCTCTCTGATGTGCTGTTTGCTGCAAACCATACTGCATGCATCATAAAGCCTTGGAAATTTGCTATCTAAGATAACGTAGCATGGTTTTTGATATGCATGCTGGGTGTGCAACACCAAACTACGAGGAAAGAAATGTTTTTTGGTTCTTGGAGATGCTGGGAGCACACTTTAAGCTTCCTTTCCTTTCAGAGTTTTTGGGGTGCAGGCACTCTGATTCTCCCTGTTCCCTAGGGAGTCAGTTCTTGGAGCAACTGCGGTACCAAAGGGCTAATCTGAAGCTATTGCAGTAGTATCATAGCACCCTGAGAACCTTCACCAACCCCTTCGGAGAGTTTCATTAATGGGTCCAGTTTAGCTTAGGTTCTCCTTTCCAAAAAGAATCTTCTTTCCAATCAGAACTGGAGTAAATAAGAGTATGGGTTTTGCTATATCCAACTATTACTTTAAATTGACAAAAGCCTACTGATTCAATGTTGATGTGATATTGCATAGCAGAAGAACAGTATGTCATACTTGGACTTCTTGGGAATGTTAGTGGCCTATAGTGAGCTGTGAGTGCATGCATGTATGTATGTATGTATGTATGTATGTATGTGTGGACCACTCTCATTTCCAGAAGCTCACATATTTTCTGTATCTCACAGGTTCATGAAGGTGGCAGGGAACACAGTGGATGCTGTTACCTGGCAACAGTAGGTATTTTCCCCTTTCCCTTTCCAATATTTCTAAACATGCATCAATTTGGGCAGAAGTCAAGAACTGAGCCAGACATCGATAGAACACTATCTTCAGACAAAGAACACAGAGAGAGAGACTTCTAAGACTACCTTTCCCTTTCTATTTTCTTGAGTTCACTCTGTTGGCTAAGGAGAAACTTTTCTAGTTATATGGACGGGCTAAACTCTTGCAGACAGCAGAACTTACGCTGTGAGAAGAATACCAGCTATGTAGCAAGGAATTCTACCACTCATGTTGGTTTTGGTGTCAGAGGCTTCCCTAGTGTGCAGCTCAGGGTAGGCTAAGAATAAATCCTATAAGATAAGCCTTGCACATTTCAGTATCAATGCAAGAAGATATTCAGAGAAAAGTTTGCCGCACACCAGTGCCCTGTGTGTGGCAGAGGGATGATGTCCTCACAGAAACCTACTGTGTGATGAATATTTCAAAGGGCAGAACTTGTCTGCTAGCAATGTTCTTCCCTCACTAGTGTGAGAAACTGGAATTCACAGGACAAGCTGACTGTGAATATACAGGGCTGTTTTCAACTAACTTTTACTCATAGTAGACCCACTGAAATTAACAGACCTAGTCATAGTCATTAAATCCAACAAGTTTACTCTGAGTAAAGTATGGGTTGAGTAACAGAGAGGTACTTTTATTGACATTTCTGCCTTTTGTGCCATTTACCTTAGCAACCAGGTCTGTCTACTCTCTGGGGTCATGTGATAGCTTTAGAAAGACACATGTGCAGAATTTACCTAGCCTGAATGGGATATTGTCCTAGTTTAACCATGTTGCTGAAAGTGACCTGATCAGGAACAAGAGCCACTTTTAGAAATAGAATTCTTGCTGTGGCAAAAAATGGGATGTGATCCACAGACAGTTCTCTTAATGAAGAGTTTGCTCAGGTTAGTGTGACTGGTGTTCCTGCTGCCTAACAACATAGCCTGAGAGCAAGCATGGATTGAATGCCAAGTAAGGACAATCCCTTGTCCTTAGAAAGTTGTTGATGCTCTGTTGTATTTGTTGGCATCTTCAGAATGATGCTGTGCCAAATTGGTATTGGCTTGTACAGATATTTTTGCCAAAATAAATTTCTGGCTTTCCAGGATTCCATGGGGTTGATCCACTAGTGGTGCTGAAACTATCCCTTGTTCCAGAGATTGACTGTCAGTAATCTCTAGGCTAGGGGTGTCTAACCTGTGGCTTTCTGGATGTTGTTGTACTCCAGCTCCCATCAGTCTCAGTCAGCATGGGCAATAGGCCCCACATGAGGAAGAGAGCTCTCTCACTCAAACATTATGATTTTGACTGAACAAAGGCAGGATGTGTGTTAGCCTTTCTCTAGTGATTGACAGAAAGTGAAGCTTTATAGAATCAGATAGTAAGAAGGGCCCTCAAAACTTGTCAAGATTTACACTTAGGCAAGATGTTATATTATGCAAGACCCCTTTATGGTGCTTTAATGCCTTCAGCTACACGGAAGCACCATCAGTTTTGCATTCTGAAGGAAGTTCTGTGGCGCATGCAAAGTGTTTCCCAGGTTATAGGCACAGAATTGCACTTACAGAGAACTCGGTGTCATTTGGAATAACATGGGTTCATGATTCCAGACTATACCTACTTCATTTGTGTGTGAAACTCCATGATAATCGTGTTGGAAACAATTATGCATACCATATAGTACTCCATTCATTCTTGGACTCCACAGACTCCAGTGAAGCTTCCTTTCTAAATTTACAGAGATTCAGGAGTGCTGCGCTGATCACTCTCCCAGGCACAGTGGCTACACAATGACTATCTTACCTGTGCATGAGATCTGTTGCTATCACTCATTGAGTGCCTTGGGGTTGATGACAGAACTTTTGCAATGTATTTGTTCATGAATCAGAGCCTTGGTTCATATACACTAGTAAGCACATATGGTATTGTAGCATACCAGTGGAACAAATGAAACATTTGTTGTAAGAATGCATTGAGTATTTTGCTGCAGAAGGATTCACTCTACAGGAGATGCCCTTAAGACTGAAATGGAGAAAAGGAATTCAAAGTGGAAAATGTGCAATATCCTGTAGTGTGTGTCTACTCATCTGGGTGGTTAGTGTCCATCTCTTTATCACGAAGGACAAAGCCCATCCATGTGGGTCACACAACATCCCCCCCCCCTCTAACATGAACTGTTTGAGAAAATCAGCACTTTTAGATAGCAGCAATGGCATGAGTTTAATTACAGAATGTTGTACTAATGCTGGGCCTGATTATTTGCTACTTGTTCCGTACCTTGATTCCATGAAATAGATAGCCTTTTCAGGGGGAAGTTCTGGGAAAACTTGACCCACACACCCTTTCCCCATCAAATAAGCTTCTGCTTTTTCTGGAGAAACTTCATCCACCCTCCCCTTTCCCTGTAAAGAGCGCCTGCTGCCATCCTTGCTGTAGTTGCTTTGTAGGGGAAAGGTTAGTTGCTAAAAAAGTAGTGTGTGTGCCCCAGCACTGGAGCAAAACAGCAGGCACAATGAATTTTCACTGAAACTGG